CTTCTATCGTTTGTTCCTAGCACTGTAGTCTTGTGTTTTGCTGTTGGTGTTGTTGAAATCTAAGATTATAAGAGGATAACGATATTTTCTCGTTGAGGGCGTTCTGAAGTACCTCTGTCATTGAAGGGATAGAGACCAAAAGATGTAGTAGAGAAGAAGAAGTGGCAGAGGGACGGAGGGAGGGGAGACGTAGATGGGAACGAAGGGAGAGGGGGGTGAAAGAAGTCGCCGACGACGTGAAAATGTGCAGATGCCGAGTGCTTTTAATTTGTATTTTCGACTGAGGCTTGTATATGTCAAGACATTTTTAACTACTTCATCTTTAAGCAGTGGTCAGTCTTCTAAAACAGATATGCTTAGTGCTACCTTGTTAAGCATTTTGTATTTGTTGATATATTCGGTTGGTAATTTTAACGCCTGTCTTCTGAATAATGACCGAAGCTCAATCTATGTTTCAGTTATGGAAAATGCTGCTCCAGGTTTTAATATTATAATTACCTTTTGTTTTTTTTTTTTACTTTTTTTGTTTTTATCAACAGGGTTCAGTCTACTAATTTACTGAACAGGTTTATCAGCTTTTTTTTTTTTGCTTGATTTTATGTTAGCTTTAAATAGTTTCAAATTTTAGCGAAATTATTAGGAATATTTTTAAAGCAAATTTTTTAAAACACTTTTTGCAGTTTATTTGCTAATGTATTTTTCTTTTCTGATCTAATAACAATTTTTAAATTTGCATAATACTAATTTTTTCTGCTCAAAATAAAAGCAATAAGAAGAAAGAAAAGCAAGAATTACGATTTTAAAATAATTTTAGAACAAATCAAAAAAGGAAGTGTTTATATGCAATTTGCTGTCATTTTTGAACTGTACCTCTGCAAAAGTATTTTCTTTTGTTCCAGCAGTAAATTTAAAACTATCTTCTTTTCACAGAGTCGTATTTTTTTTCTTTTTTTTCTGTTTTTTTTCTCTTTCTCGTAGAAAAAAATAATTATTTTCTTCTATGTTTACAAAATACATTGCCTTTTTTTTTTTTGCTTTTATTTGTATAAAACTGAGTCATATTTTAGCATAAACGTCATTACCAAAAGTTCGATTGAATAAAGGTGAGAAAAACTTTCGAAAATAAAGCTCTAATTTTTATCTGGTTTTCTTTTTTCTTTTCAGGTTCTGCACTGACCGATCTTCCGATACAAGGAGTCACCTTTGGTCCAGAACCTGACACTCAACTGAAGCTTGTCAAAGGCAATGACCTTGTTGATTTAGATGCTCGACAAAAAAAACTTATACTCAAAAAAGCTTTAGACAGAGATGAGGTATAAATAAAAAAATTAAACACACTGCTCTCTTCTAAAATGCAGAAACTGTTAATGTAGCTGTTTTTTTTTTTCTTTGCATTAAAAAATAATAAAGTTAAAAAAAATTTTTTTCTTATCTTCAAATGTATTTTTCGTGTACTTTTACTATCAGTTGTAATTGGTAAATTTACTGTTATTCTAACATTGTCTAATATTTCTTTTTTTTTTCTACGCAGTTTTCGCATTTTATTGTCAAAAATTTGATATTTTTTGCCTGAGAGACAGTCAAGAGCTATGTCAAGAAAACTGTTTTATTTTTCTGGTAAATTAAAAAAACGAAACAAAGAAAAAAGCCAGTAATTTAAAAAAAAGAAAAACATTTTTCTTATTATGTTAAATTTTTTAGTTGGCTAAAATCTATAGCTAAAATGTAGTGTCATCTGAATTTACGAAAAAAAAAGCTTATTTAACCTTATTGTCATTTGGTTTTTGTCGGCCATCGTTTGTCATTCTCGAAGGCCTTCTGGTTTTTGTTTGTTTTATAAACATGTGAGATTTTTTTATCGTATTAATAAAAAGCAAAAATTTTCGTGTTAAAAAACTTCAAATTAACAGCAACAACAACAAAAACAAAAAAAAAAAAATAAATAAAAACAAACAAAATTATGCATTATTTTTTAAAGAAACTGTTAAAATTATTTCTGTAAAATTACAGGTAGTAATAATCTGAAAAATTGATTCTAATAAAACTTAGCGTATAATATTTGATTTTGTTGACATATTCTCTTGACCTTTTTTAGTCAGTTTGTTGCTGTCCAAATTTTCTACCCACTATTATGGTTATGTTTTGTTTAATTGGTTACAGTCTCAGTATATACAATTCGTACAAATTTTTGTTATGTATACTAAGAAAAAAATTATTAATTATTAATAGAATTAGATAATACGTCAAAAAATACTTCTTAAACGTAGAATTAAAAAAAATTTTTTGGAACTGTATAAACAGTTTTTTTTTTTTTTTTTTGGCTTTTTTTAGGACTGTCTTTTGTAAAATGCGAAAAAAAAAGTTTTTTTTAAATTATATAAACAATTTCCCGTTTTTATTTTGAATAAGCAGTCTGAATTCCTTTTTTTTATTTTTCAGGGAGAAAGCAAATTTGAGGTGGTCATCGAATGTAAGTCGTTAGCAGACGCTGATTTTCCACAGGTAAAGTGGGTTACCGGTTTACCTCAAATATACATAACTCTTTTTCTGTAGTTGTTTTTAAGTATAAATTTTTATTTCATCAAATGCCTCTTCAACTTCTCTTTACCTTTGTTTGTTAATTTGTTTCTGAACACACCTTTACTGTTGTTTTGAAAATTTTTTGCTGTAAAAAGGAGAAAAATACTTGTTAATAGATCAACATCAGTACTTTTATATCTGTATTGGACGTCAACGATAATGCGCCAGAATTTGATTCAGACTTCTATAACTTTAAAGTGGCTGAAGAATTACCAATTGGAACAATAGTATTTATTGGATTTAAAGTATAAAATTTTTCTAAAAAATTGTTTTATGTTGTCGCTTTTCTGTACTCAATAGTTTTTTTGTTAGATTGTAAACATTGAAAGCTTCTCGTTTAACCTAAATTGCCTCATAGGCAACTGATAAGGATCAACCAGGACCAAACAGTTATCTAACCTATAGAATTCTTCCGGGAAAAAACTCACACTATTTGGCCATTGAAGAACCGTCTGAACCAAAGATAACAATTGCTGAACGAATCGATTTTGAGCAGATTACAGAGTTTGATATATTAATCGAAGCCAAAGATGATGGTAATCCGGTGCTGTCATCAATTGTTAAAGCTCATGTTACCATTATCGACGTTGATGATCAAAATCCAGTTTTTGATTATGACTATTATTACGCAGAACCATTCAAAGTAATTTCATTTTTTGACTTTAAAAGCTATTTTATCATAATTTTTATTCTGCTAATTTGTCATCAGTAGATCGCTGCAAAAATTCGCTTAGAAAACTAATTTTTCCTGACTAATTTTCCTATTAAGATTCAAAATTTTGATTTGTGATGATCAGAAGTCAAGCATTTTCTTTACGTTTGCTTAATCATTCTATATGAAAAAGACCTTTGTAAACTCGTTCAGAAACAAATATTTCTTGTTTTTTTTTTTTTCACATTTAGTTGTTGATACTGATGTCGTTTTTTTTTTTTTATCCAAAGGGTTAGCGTACAATAGTTCAAAGAAAAGATTTTATTCTACAATAAATAACACTCACATAAAACCACAGAATTGGTCTGTTAAGTTTTACTACACTAAAACCACTTAACATTACTGTTTTTTTTCGTTCTGTGTTCTTAACTGATTCCTTAGCAGAGAATTCAAAATCGGCTAAATTTGCACTGTTTTTCTTCAAGAAAAAAATTTTTTTTCTTGCACTCCAAAATACTTGCAAATAATTTTTTGAGGAATAATTATAATCAATTTTGTTGTTGTTTTTTGTTGCTGTTACTATTACATTTACTGTTTAAGTAGTCATTTGTTTTATTTACTTGTTCTTACATAACCAGCAGAGTTTAAAAGTTTAGATTGGTGCTATAAATGTTCAACCGGCTACAATTCATGCCGTTGACGGTGACACAATTGGTGCCGAAATTTTATATGCTTTGCAAGGAGGTATATAAACTGTTTTTTGTCTTATTTATTCTTTGTTTGGTTTGTGCAAATTATTTTTCTTCTCAAAATTTAATAAAGAGCTGTTAAAAAACTAGATACATCTCCAAAAAATTCCATTTTTTATTCTTTTTTCTGCCTATTTTTTTTGTCAAATTTACTAAGCGTTGAAAGATTAAAGATTAGATGAAAAAAAGCAAGTAAAAATTTTAGAATTTTTGCTTTATAATTTTAGTATTATTTTAGACAATTTTTAACGCTGAGCATTATTCACAATACATTTAATATGCAGATGCAGTAAAAAAAAAAGTCTATTAGGTCTGTTTGAACAAGTCTTTGGTCTTTAATTTTGCCTTTCAAATCTTAAAAATGACAAACAAAAAGAAACAACCTCTAATTATTATTAAATACTTTTGAGAGGTTCTGTTATTTGTTATAAAAACAGTGTTTCAAAAGTATTACTTTATTTATAAGTTTAGCTTTTATTCTGCACCAAAACCAGAAAGGTACAACGTATCAAATGTTTTCAAAACTATAAGTGATAAAGCTAAAATTTTTCTCTTTAAACTTAATTTCATTTATCAAATTTTCTTAGCTATAGTACTCTACAACTGTTTTTTTTTTTTTGCATTTTATCAACTAAGGAAAAGTTGCTATATAGACAATATCAATGTTTAAGAAATTTTTTCATTTATAGTACTGCTGCATTGGTAATCTACAGAGCATATTTTATTTTTACGACACTAAAATAAAATTTTTTTATTCACTTTTTTCAGAGGGTAGTGAATTTTTTTCAATCGATAAGTCGGGTGTGGTAACTGCTTTAACGGAATATATACCATCTTCAGTTCTGATGGTCAAGGTATATCTGATTGCTAGTTTTTAGCACTTAACTTTATTTATTTAAGCCATCAAACGACTCAGCTCAAGTATCAACTTTAAAAAACGCTGTTACAGCTTTTAAGCAAACTGTTGTTGTATGGAAGCACAACAGATCGTTTTTCCTGCTTATTTTTTTTATTTTAATATTTGTTATTGTGTAATTCCAACGTCTCTTAATTTCAAAAATTTACATCATTTATGTTGACACAAAGTTTTAAAAAACCACTAAAAACATTGTTATTTTACTT